GCAATAAATTGATTACCATAAAGAATACACTAGTGAAATTCTCGTTTCTGAACGTTATCTTCCAATAGAAGACTTCTTATTTTGAAACTTGACAGTTCAAACTTCAAACTATTTAATTTAATTTTTGATTCGATTTGAAACAATATAATCGATTCTCGATTAAATTCAGCATTGCAATATCTATTTTCGATTATTTTTCTGTGTTAAGGAGATAAAAGTGTAGGTAATAGATAATCTCACTTTTATTTATTCTACAATAACTCAGCTCCTTTCAGCAATGAATTGTTTATATATGCGCTTTCAAATGGTCCTACTTTCATCTTGTTAACACTTGGGCCCAAGAATGTATGGAGACGTCTCCTTCTCCTTTATACCATTCAAAACGTTACGATGTATCTTTGGTGAATTGTTGTGCACCCACCCGAGCAGTTGAGTCTGACGACAAGTGCAATTGGTAAAATTAAAAATTTTGTACAACCTACTTCAAAATAAGTAGATTATTAAGGGTAACTCAAATTTTTAAGGGTAACTGGTCAGACCTTGATCAAATTTATATGGGACTATATGAGAAACACCAGCTTTCAAATAAAAAAAATCATCAAAATTGATTCACCTAGAAAAAAGTCATAAGGTAACACACAAAAAAAACATACAGTCGAATTGAGTACCTCCTCCTTTTTAAAGTCGGTAGATAATCAAAGAACTCTGCATTAAGCAATCGTTAAACCTGTACTTTATTTGGAATATACTCATCAATACTATGCATCGAACGTTAATTTATTATTTTGACAGCTCCGTGATGCAATGGCTTAGCAATAAGTTGCAGCGCTAAAAGTCGCGGGTTCGACTCGCGCACGGAACAAGTATTTGTATGGCCTACAAATAATTGTTCCGGGTCTGGATGTCTGTTCTTGTGAAATTTATGTACGCACAAATGTATGTTATGTATGAAAGAAATTCTATTGTGGAGGTAAAGTTATTTAAAAAGAATAGAAAATTATAGCGTATACAAAGCACTCCTCCTTGGAAATTAGTACCTTTAAACAACAACATGGTAGAGCCACGCTGCAGCTATAATATTATGGCAGCAGCGAGAATGAGTCTCGACCGGGAAAGGACCTCGCCTTTACAAAATACCAGCGTAAAATATCAGCTGTGTTTCATATGGTGAGTGTGAGAACTTGAGACTATTTTCAAAGGTATCGAGGCATTTAGTCTTAATCCTCATGAGAGAAAATCTTTAATCGATGTCAAATCTAGGTATGTATGGGCCACGTCGTTTGTCACCCTTAAATGGCAAAAAAAAGTCGTGTATAGACTTCCCACCTATATAACTTTTAGATTCTCTATTTCTTTAACAAAACAAAACCTAGCTTATTATTATTGCACGACACGACTAAAGTAATAATACTACAGCGACTAAAGTAATATTACTACAGCGACTAAAGTAATAAATAAATAAATGATTAATACTATTTTAAATGGGCATACCTAATTATTATATAATTTTGATAAATTAATTTTATTTTTATTATTAGATAAAGATAATAAATAAAATTTTAAAATTATTTATTTCACAATTATTAATAAAATTTAATCAACAAATGCAATTATATATATAAAAATTACGTGTCACATTGTTTGTCCGCGACGAACTCCTAAACTACTGAACTGATCGCAATGAAAATTTGCACACTGTGTGCAGTTTGGTCCAACTTGAGAGATAGGATAGTTTTTATCCTGATAAGTGACACTCAATATTTTTTATTACGAATTTAAGGATTTTTATAGTACAAAGGTTCGCCGCTAAGGGCAGAACAACGTCTGCCTGTTCAGCTAGTATATATAATTATATATGTGCCAATACAATTTTTTGTACCAAATTGAGAAAAAATAGACACCTCAGTGGTTCACATTCATCCAGCCGTTGGGATGCTTCAATGGTAAACACGCGTAAAAAGTATAACCCTGTCTTTGCTGTCATGCCGTCGGGTAAAAAAGGCATTTTAACGCATCACACAACTAGTAAATTTATATATTTACAACTTAAACAACGCACCTATCTATGTATTTTTTATAAAACATGAAATTTAAGGGAAACTACCACGATTTGCTTACGTCATGGTCACATTTATAAAATCCTTGAATGTGGGCTAATAGTCTTCAGCTCACCAGATGTCGCTAGTTAACACTGAGGTGAAGTTTTTTATTACACAATGTAATTTAATTGAGTAGTTAGTTTTAAATAAAAGTTTTACAGATTCTAAAGTATTAAATTAATACATAAAATAGTGCATTCTTTATAGGATAACGGTGACAAACGAGCACACAGTCCACCTGATGAAGTAGTTGCTGTGGTCCATAGACATCTAAATTTATCCTCGATTAAGAATCAAAATGCAAATGCGTTGTCACCCCGATGGAATGCCTCGTTTCCAGAAAAAAGGGTTTCCGGTTCTCTACACTAACATATTATACACTCATAGATTTTACGCTGGTATTCTGTGAGAGCGTGGCCTTCCCCGGTCGAGCCGACCCATCCATGCTACAACTATACCAGTAATATAGCTGCAGCATGGCTCTACCACGTAAAAAGTGCCTCAGTGGTATGTGTCAGTAGTATCTTTTTTGTAATTTTTCTACTTTTATGAATATCTGTGGTTTGGTTTGTTTATTTTTAATCCAATTCTTATAAAATATAACTAATAGTACAAACATTAACATTTACATTTTTCGAACAAATTAACTTCTCTGCTATGAAATCTGTCCAATATTACCTACACCTAATTTTTAAATGGCGCCGCCCTGGTGGTAGAAAAAGTCGTGGATGCCCTCCTTGGTTTGGAAAAGGAATAAATAACAAGATGTTTTTAAATAAATTTAAGAATTTGAGAAAAATAAACTAAAATTTTTGTTTTGCACTGTCTTGTAGTTAAAATATTTTAATGCAATTATTTAAACGTAAAACTATAATCAAATAATAAACATGTAATTGCGATGGTGATAATTATTAAGTTTCCTTTAATATAAATATTTTCATGTAATGTGTGAAAATGCGTATTTTTATATTTTCTTAATAATGGGACACCTTAATTTATAAAAGGCCTAGAGTTGAAATAATACACGAGGATAGTTTACGAATATAATTTTATTAACAATTTCACTTTAATGACTGTAATGTACGTCGATATCATATTTACAATTTGTGTTTGTTTATACATTTTTACAACTCTCGCGAGTACTATGCCTAACTACTAAATCTAGACCATTTCTAGTATATAAATTCACAGACAAATTAAAGAACAAACTGTTAGACAAGAGATAAAATTATATTATCTCAAATTGAGATTGAGTTATAACGGAGATATTTCCAAAAACTCCTCACACTATGAGGACGAAATTTAAAAATAAAACACTGCAATAGGATTAGTTAATTCAATACATTTAATTCAAATATTAGCTACGTATATATTTAAATTTGTAAAAGAAAAAATATATCTAGGAGCATGGCGGGAAAAGATCCGCATCTCATTTTTCGTCGACATTTTCTCGAATTTGCGCGCACGATTTATTTTAATCACTTTATTATTTTAATAGGAATTGCTTAAAAACTTTCTAGTAAAACTATAACTATTCTTTAACCTTGTACTTTTATTCGAAAGCGAAATATTACAATATTATATTTAATACAATTTTCGTTTGAAGTTACTTTAGTGCCTGATTCTTTATTTATTTTTGAAAATATTTATTTAATTTATTTCTTCAAATTCCAAATATTATTATTAGTAATAAATAATGTAACGTAAGTATTATAAGCGTTAAATTTTCCCCTGTAACATAATTAACAATCGTTTCTTTTATTTTTCTTAAAGTATGATGTGCAAAAACAACAGGATGAAATAGGTAAAGCTAAATGATTTATATATTAATATATAATTAATAATTATGCATTATACCTGTTTCAATAATATTTTTATCGCACGTCATTGCATATTATTGCGAAACAAAACTGTTAAATGCAGTTAAAATACATTTTATCTTTAAAAAATGAATATCTAAGAGGCAAAGTTAGGAATATTTTTACCTCATCAAAAAAAAAACTAAAACCTTTTAAAACAGTTCTAATATGTTTTAACTGTCAATAATAAATAAGTAGCAAAGGTTTTGATTTTAAACGCAATTGATTTGCTACTGTTTAAATAGGCCTACAAATGTAAAACGTTGTTAAGAAAATTGACATGAATTACCTTACCCTATTGCAGCGTTCTGTCACCATTGAACAAATTCTAAAGTTATAAATAAATTACTTAAAAACTTATTGCTGTTGTCCTAAAACAAATAAATTAAGACAACTGGCAAGCGATACGGTCGTTCATTTTCAGGTACAAACCTTTATTATACCTTAATAAAGTCTATAATAAGAACATAACTATCTACATCGCTAATCAATTAATACAACTAAAAGATGATATGATAAATAAATTCTTCATTTTATTGGTAAAATAGGATATATAAAATGCATCTCATGGAAACGCATAATGATCTAAATCTTACCTAGGTATATTAAATAAACCAATATAAATTATAAATAAGTAGCCTAGCCCACTGCGAATGGGTGAGAGAGTATATTATAGCCTGATATATTAAATTAACCCTGTTATACCTCGAACTGTTAAGCTATTTCGCAAAAGCTTTTAACGGATTAACACTCAAGGGGTCGTTATAACGGGAGGGTATTTCTCAGTACAAATTTCATAGGTACATACCTGATACGAAGTAATGTCGACTTTAATTTCACTCCCTTCACACTTCCAAACAAACGATAGCCTAGTGAGCGGATTAACAATGCCTCGACATCACATACGCACGGAAACATATAACTAACTACTGACAGACTCGTCTATATTGCAACGTAAATCACTTGTGTTCGGGAAACACTTGCGCGAACCCTTCGTGCCTTGACACCGCGATCATATTTACACTATCAGTCTGTGCGGTCGCTACTCCTCGTCGACGTTGATCTCCGAGTCGGCCGAGTCCTCGTCGTAGGTGGACGACGAGGCGAACCCTCGGCCGAGTAGCGCTGATCTGTTCTTCGCGGCCGCCGCTCTGTCCCTCTGCCGTCGATTCTTGAACCAGTTGCCGACCTGCGTCGGCGTCAGCCCCGTCGCCGCCGCCAGCTCCCTCTTCTTCGTCGGATTGGGGTAGGGATCTTGGAGGTACCATTCTCTGAGTAACGAGCGCGTCCGCTCCTTGAAGCAATGCGTCTTCTGCTCGCCGTCCCAGATCGTCCGCGGCAGCGGGAACTTCTTGCGCACCCTGTACTTGTCGACGGGACCGAGCGGACGTCCGCGGAGCCGCTCGGCCTCCTGATAGTGCGCCTCCAGCCAGAGCGCCTGCAGCTTCGCATGGCTGGAGCGCTGGAAGCGGTGCCGCTCGAGGATGGAGTAGAGCTCGCGGTGGCGGCCAGCGTGGAAGGCGACGACAGCACGCGCGCGGAGTACCGCCTCGCAGCGCTCCAGCTCGGCCACGTTGGGGTGGGCGACGGGCAGCGACCAGAGGAAGCGCGCGAGCCGCTCCACGTCGCCGCTCTCTTCGAGCGTCTCGCAGACGGTGGCCACTTGTGCAGCGCTGAAGGAGAGCGTGGGTAGCGGCAGCAGCGGCGTGGGCGCGGCCAGCTCGAGCGCGGGCTCGCAGGCGGGCGGCTCGGCCGCGCCGGGCCCGCGGTGCGCCTCCAGGATGCGCGCGTGCAGCGCCGCCGTCGTGCACTCGTCCCACGACCCGCGCATCGGAACGAATGTGCGCGCCCGAGTGGCGCGCCGCACTCGGCTGCCAGGCCGCGCCCCCATTGGTCGAGACGCGCGGGCGCGGGAACCCTGCCCCTCACCAGCCAATCGGCGACGAGACCCGCCCGTCGTGCCGCCGGGGGCCGATCGCTTACCCGCCCGGCGGCGTTTAACGTGCGGGGGCCGCGGCGCCCCGCTCCGCCATGATCCGTCACGCACACCGCGCTCCGCCGCTCACCTGCAAACCTGCAATTAATAGCCTCCATATATATTCATCCGGGTGGATTACATGCTTTTATTTGCCCGATGTGCGCTACCGATCGATGTTAGCACACCTAATTAGTTAATGCTTTGCGTTCCCAGCGAACGTGTACGACCTTTGCCAACGCTCTCGAACATTACCTTAACTTATTATTGATAGAAAACATTACTTACTTGTTATCTTAGAAATAATTACACTACAGTTGCACCGGAAATAGTGCATAAACAAAATTATTAATCGTCTGTATATAGGTATAGATACCCACATTCTAATTAAAAACGAAATTAATAAAATATATTATTTTTTCTATATTTTTTTAAATATTGTAACGTACAGATAACGTCTGTACATATTGCTTATAATGATAATGATATGACTGACAGGAACATAAATTTAATAAATAGAGGTATATTCCAAATTTTAAATATTTTTCGGTATTAACTGTCAAAGTAACCAAACACCAAAACTGGGCGGTCGCACTACACTCGAGCGAGATTTCAGTATTGAAAGCCTTTCCAGAGTATTAAGTTATTGAACGGCAAACCACACCCAGGCGGCTGTAACGCTACACAGGTACCCCACCCCTGATCCCCCTAGGGTCCCCCCAGAATCTCCCGAAGCCCCCCACCCGACGCCCGCTCAGATTGTGAGTTTTGTTACTCGTATATTCCCGCAGATTACGTGTATTCATAATAATACTTCGCTGTGATACAAAACGCCATTTTCGATGCTTTGTTTATTATGCCGTAAAACCGTTTTATTTTAATAATAGAAATGTTCTAAAGGATTATTATTATAGAAAGATATTTTCTCTGTCCTGGGAAGAATCAGCAAGAAACCTAGCGGGATTTTTTTAAACATATTTCACTTTACAATAATTTAAACTAGAAATCATTAATATTCATCGTTTAAACAATATTCGCTCAGTAATCATAGAGCAGTAATCATAGAGCATAGAGCGACAATGCTAATTATTACAAGATCATACAATTTTAAATAAGATGATATTTAAGTAGGGAGGTAAAAAATATTTTTAGGGTGTAACCCAATGGATACAATGTGTAATAGGAATCGGTGAAAAGATTACATAATATTTTCATTACCATGGAATAAGCATGTAGGTCAATCAACTCTACTTCGACTCTACACTCTTATAATTGAACGTAGGGTCCAACTGTGAGGAATTTGTAAATTGTTATTATACAATAACAATTTACCTTTACCAATAACCTTTTTTATTTTATATGAGATAGTTTAAACAAAGTCATGCCTACATAACAATTAAATAGATACTGGCTGTTTGGTTTCTTTTTCTGTCAATAATACCTCGGGATTTGAATAACGAACATATTTCAATGCATTCACTTTAAGCATCTTTACTACAATAACATTAATGTATTACGAATGTAATTGTTGTTATGTTAATCAACAATAAAATACGTTTATCGAAATGTAAAACTATTTTTATTATAAGCATTATTTATAAAACGTACTTTATTATTCAATTTAAAATTAAAACTGCATCCCATAAAATTAAAATGACATGGAATATAATTAATAGTGAAACATGAGTGAAACGGGCAAGGTCAAACCGCGGAACTCGGATTTTCAATTGAATATTAACAATAATTTAACTCAATCTGATCAAGAAGTTGCTATGGCTTTTGAGAAACATTTTACTGTTGTTCCTTTTTTGACAACTAAATCATTAAACTCTTCTCTTACTGTCGCCGAATCATTGCTCATACAAAATGTAAAGGCTTGTTCAAATACTTTTAAATTTCATAGAATATTGCCAAAAGATATTGTTAAATATTTTAAAACTATTGATGTTAGGAAAATGGCAGACTTATGGGGGATTTCCGTTAAAATTATTGCATCTATAATAGATACTATAGCACGTTATCTAGCCCCAAATTATAATACAAGCGTCGAATCTGGTGTGTTTAAATCTGGTAGTACATTAGACCCCGCCAACTTTAGACCAGTTTCTGTACTACCAACATTAAGTAAAGTTTAAAAAAAAACTATTTTAGATCACATGTTAAGTTTTTTTAATGTAAATAAATTGCTTCATAAAAATCTATTTGGTTTTACAAGGGATCGCTCGACTACCGCCGGAGTCGAACTTATAAAACATATTTCTTGTGCATGGGAGAATTCAGAGTATGCTTTGGGTGTGTTTTGTGACCTTTCCAAGGCCTTCGACTGTGTTCATCATGAGACATTAATCAGGAAGCTACAGTAGGTACTATGGTGTCAAGAACACAGCGCTTAAACTTATTATTTCATATTTAAGTAATAAAATGCAGAAAGTTATTATCAATGGTAAAAGTATATATCAAAATTACTGTATTAGTTTAACGTTAATAAAATCTGCATTTAAACGACAATAAAACTAAATGTATTAAAATTACAACAACGAATGTTAAAAATCTGAGTACCAATGTGTTTTTTAATGGGGAAGAAGTTATCCCTGTTAAATCCTCTGTTTTTCTTGGCATCACTCTCGATGCAAAGCTTCAGTGGGGCCCCCATATATCCAAACTAGCAAACAGACTAAGCTCTGCAGCTTATGCTGTAAAAAAGATTAGAGATCTTACTAGTGTCGAGACAGCTAGAACAGTTTATTTTAGTTATTTCTAGAAAAATAATATATATATATTTTTTTTTGATGCATTCGAGATGTACCTGTGTCTTACCAGGTTGTCACTCCATCTAGTGGGAAGTCGCCATACACTTCGCTCACCAGCACGAGACTGACCCACGAGAACTTTTCTTCTCCGTCGGCTGTCGATTCTTCGAGCTATATGGCCGGCCCATTGTCACTTCAACTTACTGGTCAGCAGGCCTTTTTCTCCCTGGTTTTAGTATCGATAAAGTGAGTATCTTTATTTCGAATTCTACTACGCGTAGAAACTCCGAAAGAGACAAAACTGTGAGGTTATAGAAGGGGGTTAGGTGAGAAGATGAGAATTGAAAACAAGGCATTAAATACTGGTAACCGGGTGCAGGTTAAGATATATCAAGCGGTTGTATGGCGGTCAATTCTATCCAATCATTTTTCTATAAAAGTAATAAAAGAGTCACATCCACAAATCATTGCTTTGAATATCCTTCTCAGGCGTTGGAACCGCAAAATAAACATATGTTATAATATCCCAACGTTCCGGGAAGTCTGCAGTTTGTGATGATATCCTAGACGGCCCCCGCCATTACATTAGATTTGATAAACCACAAATTCTCGCGAAAGAACTTCGATTCCTGCCAAGGATGATACGTGAGGCTACTGAGATGGAGGCTGGGTACTACCACCTCCTTGGTATTCCATGAAGACTAAGATGAAATGCCTCTTTTCCAGTAAAATGGGTCTCCGGTTCTCTACACTCACCATAAGAAACACAGCTGTGTTAAGCTGCTATTTTACGCTGGTATTCTGTGAGAGCGTGGTCCTTCCCCGGTCAAGATGACCCATTCATGCTGCAACCATAATATAGCTGCAGCATGGCTCTACCACGTATGAAATTGCTTCAAAGGGGGGATTCGACATAGTTGCCGCGACAAGCAGACGGGTTTGCGAACGTAATTTCTTATTTTTTGCTGTAACTACGTAGAAAGACACTGCTGCCCATCTCCTTGTTTGCTTTCCTCTATAGCCTCTTACGACATGCATTCGAGATGTACGTCTTACCACGTCGTCACTCCATTTAGTGGGGGGCCGCTCTACACTTCACTCACCGGCACGAGCGGCCACACAATAACCTTTTTCCCCGTCGCCTCTTACAACACCCACGAGATGATGTAGGGTAGTGGATATTCTTACACCGCCACTACATGATGACTAAAAAGTAAAGCCAGTAAAAATCAACACTGGTTATTGTTTCTCATCATACAAATATAGCAGTAAAAGCCCCCCCCCCACCCCCACCCCCTTCGACTATGAGGCAAAGTTCAACAGTGGCGTTAACGTTAACAGTTTTGTCATTCACCATACGAAATACGGCGGTTCTTACCCGGTAGAGTTGTCTCATTTTGCTACAGTCATAATATAGCTGCATAGTAGCTATTTCAAATACTATGTTTTTAATACATTAGCTTGCCTTTCAGTTTTATGGACTAGCAGTTTAAAAATAGTATAATTTAAAATAAAAAAATTTTAAAAACCGATTTCAATGAAATTTTGACTTAATATAATATATTCTAATAATTATGCTGTTATTTTACACTGGTATTCTATGAGAGCCTGGTACTTTCCAGTTGAAGTGGATTTATTTGCGCTACAGTCATACTTTTCTGTATGACTCTACCACAAGTTACATAATTTATATTATTTTGAGCATAGAGACTGTGTATACGTAATGGGCGAGGAGATAGCGACATTGTTGCGATCCTGTTGTTTCCCGGGATTCTAGCGCAATTTGCATTTTTCGCGCAGCCGACTCTCGGGGTGGTTTTATCCCGGCTTTCGACTTGATTACTCCATCTGCTCGCTAAATCTACTTACGAACTTTTGCGGAATTAATTCTTGCAGCTTTGTTTCTTTGTTTTAGAACAATTTAATTCTTGCATAAAATATCAGATTTTATTCAAAAATCTCTACAAAATTTAAACTGAGCAGTGGCGATGTGAGAATAACTACTACACTATATTGTCCCGTAAGTGTGGTAAAAGACGACAGAGGGCAATAAACGAGGAGATGGGCAGCAGAGTGGATTGATAAGCGTGCCAAATATGGCAAATGGCAACGTAAGGCAGTCTGTGGAGAAAGTATATGTTCAGCAGTGGACTTTTAACAGGCTGTAACAGTTGATAAAGCTCATCGCATATTCTGGACTATCTTTAAAACATACTTATCACTCACATAGAAGATCAAACCAACGATGGCTACGTGGTGCACTGGCTTAGTAATGAGTTGCAGCACTGAGGACCACGGCACGGGTTTGAATTCCGCACGGAACAAGTATTTGTATGGCCTACAAACAATTGTTCTTATTTGTCCTTTTG